ATCCTACTGTAATTTGGCATAGATGTATAACATAGTCTGAAAGAACACATAGGCTACTCATTTAATTATTTTTTCATTCATCGCGGACGGAGTCACGGGTGACAGTTAGTATAGTATAAATTCTATATTTCTTTCAATCATTACACGACTACTATGGCGCCCTCTAGTTTAATCTTAGCAATACTAAGAGATAGCTTAAGTAATTTTTAACGACTGTGAGTGTGGCAGTTTATCCTTATTGCTTATAGCGATATCACATGAATAAAACATAGCAGAATGGTTTAATTGGAGATTAAATTGATTTTGTTACTTTTTATTTCCAATGAAAAATAAAAAAAATATTGATTTAATTAGCATCAACTGCTTGAGGACGCACTCAGTGCTGGAGCTGATGAAGATATTGGGTGAAGAGTTTGATGTAAAGTTGGAGACGAGCGTGGAACGTGCGAGAGAGGTCGCAGAGAGATATAACCAGAAGCTGATGTTTGCACCAGGTCAATTTTTTATTATATTTTTAAAAACATTTAACTGGACACTATAATTGAAATTAATGAATTTCTGTAAAATAATTTAATAGTATCCTTATCAATAACAAATAGAAATATCTATCGTGGGTTTCTGAGATCAATCCCCGTTTTAAACATAGTAAGTCTGTTCTATCAAAGAAGATAGGGATGACGATATATTTCATACAAAGATTTTGGTCTCAGAAACCGACGGTAAATGTTTCAATTGGTTAATAACTTTTAATATATACTAACTATGAAAAAAAGTCTAGCAGATCTCCTTTGGTAGCCAATTAACCAATAAATTTAAATTAGGTTTGTTAACGATATAGTGAATAAATAATATAATTGTTATATTGAAGCGCCAATAGCCTAACGGTTAAGGATACGGATTTCCGAGGATTCAAATCCATTTTGACTATTGTCATAAAGCATGTCCTAACAAGCGTAGAGCTTAGTTGCGACAGTGCAAGAAATATTAGTAAATTGAAACAAAAACTGCTAATATTTTATTTAAAAAAAGATGCGATCTGTTTATGTAATACATTGTATTTGTTCCTCAGATTCAGATCAGCTGGCGTACTCAGTGCGGGAGTACATAACGTTCGAGGAGTGGCCCGTACCGCGCGGACTGCGTGTACGTGACCGCGCCGCCGCCGTGCGCGTGCGCTCTCACTGCACTGATGCTGGTAAACAAACTAACTAATAAAATGCAAATGTTTACATGGATGGATGGATGGATGTCTAGAAGTTATAGGAAGAATACTACCGCGGAATTAAAAAAAATACCTAATAAGGTTTTTTTTGATTCCGCGCGAACGGATTTGCAGTCGATAGCTAGTTGATTAAATAAAGGCAAAAACATAAAGTTTTTACATAGTTGGAGACGTGAGGAACATCTGTTGAATGAATGGACTCAATTTATGCAATACCAAGACTTCCAGAAGACACGCCTAAAGTGGAAGCAATTTCGTGCACACTCTGATGAGTTCCAGATTGCTAATATTAGTCCTATTTTCCTTCCCACTCCTCTTATAAGGAAAGGACAGAAATGGAAAGTGGATTTGCCGTAGGAAAGGACGTATAGGAAAGGGAAATAGCTCCTTTCTGTACGTCCCCCTCCTTTTATTTAAGGTAGCCAATGCATCTACAATTGCGGATGTCTATAGGAACCAGTCGCTTCGCTATTTTGGCGAATTCAGGTGTATCTCTGTTTAAAATTCTCTATTTTGTTGTCAGGTTTAGTGATAGATGGCAGCGTATCGTTTCCTTTCAACGATGGAACACAAGCCGCACTCACAGTCCACCCTGAGGATTCGCTTATGACCGTGCATATGGACGACACATTACCCTACTGATCAACTAAAAACGAATATATTGAAAATAAAGGCTAATTAAATCAGGGGTGAGTTCTTCGGAAAATCTTCCTTTTAATGAAGGGAAAACTGGAAGATTAAAGTAGGAGAAACCAGCGCCATTAAAAAAAAAAAATCTTGATCTATGACAGGAATGATAGACCATAAAGTCCAATTTTTGTAATTATTTTTAAAAAGGTTTACCAACTTAAAATATAAAAAATTTTTAGAAATGTTTGAACATAGAACAGTTCGAGTCTGTGTCATCAGGGACACTGTCGCGCTCACAGATAACCTACAAATTGTGCTTTCTTTTATATTTAAGTATAAAAAGTAAATAATTTTGTACGTGATTTATTATTTCAGTAATCTTTTAATTATATTAAAAGGTGTTGGGAAATTATAAAAATAAAATTAAATTTAAATTAAGAACATTCTATATCAAACTCCTGACCTAGGGTAGGCCAGTGGGGATGTATAGTGAGCTGATGATGAACATTCTCATGTTGATTGAAATGTTTTTATTAGTTATAACAAATATTTATTATTGTATGCTAGTAACTAGAATTATCCAGTTGCAATTTTTTTTATTAGTTTAAGACTGAAATTAGAAAATAAGTGCAATGCCTTTATAGTAAATTAAAAAAACATTGTCTGTGTTAAGTGTTTGAAAATTGTAGGTACTTAAACGTTTGTCTCTTTCTTTCATCGTATAATAGAAAGAGTAAGCGATGGATTATAAAGAAAAATACATGTTGGGAATAAGAAATATCGACAATACACTACATAGATAAATGGATAGGTAATTTCTTGCAAATTACAACTTTTTTTCGTTCCTACTTACGCTTCTGTTGAAATTCTTGACAGATATATGTCTATTATTAGTTCATATCCTCACCACTATTACCAACCGCAACCATCAGCGCCAAAATGGCGCAAATCAAAGAGGAACACAATCCCACAGATTATAGCCTATCCATGTATGAGTGCTGCAAAGGTATTGCACGAGTATTAATTGTAGAAATACTAGATAAAGGCATAATATTATGATTTATTCCAACTTTCATTTTGTAAAGAAATGTGTACCTTAACTGTTAGACTGAAATTCAAGTTACATTGAACCGACTGACCCTGATTTTTTGACATCAAAATCTCTGTATGAAACATATCGTCATCTCTGTCATTATCTTTGACAAAAACAGAGATAACAATATGTTTTAAATAGGGATTTTGGTCTCGAAAACTCACGGTTAATTCGTCAGTTCGAATTTTCGATAGGCTGATGGGTCCATCGGTAAACATTTAAATATTTGCATAAATAAAACTTTATAATATTAGCTATCCTTAATACATAAAACCTATTTTGTGTTTTGATGTAGTTTTACTTACTTGACTTAAAGTCCTATGTCCTCGTAGTGGGGCTGAGGATGTCCACAGTGCGCCACCAGTTCGCTCTATCTTGGGCTCTGCGTTTGGTCTCGGGCTATGTCAGCCCAATTGCCTTTCTGTTGGCAGCTACTGAGCGTCGCCAAGTTTGTTTATTTAGTTTTATTATACAAATAATAAAAGAGCGTCGGTGGCTCAGTGGTCAAGGACTTGACTTGCAATCTGCAGGTCCTGGGTTTGAATCCCACCATGTATCAATGTGTTTTTCGATTTCCGATTTACATATGTACATTTATCCGACGTTCTTACGGTGAAGGAAAACATCGTGATGCAACTTGCACATATCTGAGAAGAAATTCAAAGATATGTGTGAAGTCAACCAACCCGCACTGGGCCAGCGTGCTTGATTATGGCCTAATCACCCTTAACTTAGGGTAGGCTCCGAGCCCCTCGGTGGGGACGTATAGAGTGAGCTGATGATGATGATGATACAAATAATAAAGGAAAAAAAAGTACTGCATCTTGTTTATTCATAAAACTTGTAAATGTCACAATTTATAGGTTATGTTGATTTATTTAGTTTTATGTTGTATTTATATATAAATATTTCTCTATTTATAATAAGTATAATTTATGTTTAAGCTGTAGAATCAAGTCTTCCTTGTCATTTAAGTAAAGGTCACAATTATTATATTTAACTTTTTTTTTTGCATGTCAGTGTATATCCATACATTTTATATGTTTTATTTGGTCAATACAATTTGTTCCTATATATGAAAAATGTAAATATGTCACAAGTAAGATTTAATGAACGAGATATAATAATTTAGTATTTAAGCTTTTTATTTTTTTATAATGGCAATACGAAGTGAATTAGGAATTGTTAATCTGTGAAGAATTACGAACTGTTTTTACTTGTTATAATTAAATGTCATTTTACAATTTATTCAACAATTTTTTTATTTGGTCGCAGTTAATTATCAAATTTGGTAATGGTTTTGATCTAAGATACTGCTATCTTTCTATCTAGCCCTAGTTTCTAGCTTCGGATTTTTGAATAACTGTCGCTTAGGTATCTCGCTTATCCAGTTTTAACTTTATTTAAATGTACCTGTTATATGATTTAAAGATATAATTATGAATAATCATTAATTGTGTTTTCTATTTGTCTATTACTCCTTTTTATTTTTTATAACGGCTGGCAACACTCAAACTGTAAGTGTTGCCAGCTTTTCCTTTAGAATTTCGATGTAAAACATCGAAAAACAGGTAAAAATAAAAGAAATAATTTTTCGAAGTCAGTATATTTGTTAAAAAATTCGTACACAGTTTATCATAAACATTCGATATCGTTCCAGAACCCCATTGTATTAAGAATGTAGTAAAAAATGTAATTAGTTAAACAAAAAAAAGAACAATGGAGTAATTATGAAACAAATATCGAGATTCGTTGTTACAGGTAAAGCAATATAAATGTAACTTAAAAATAAGCCCAGATACATTATAGCACCGATATCGGACGGAATGGCAGTACACCAACGATTATCCTATAATAAACATATACCTTAAAAATATGGCATCCATGATTCAATTTATCTACTGCAAGTGTTCACAGAGTAATATGTAATTACAGTATAACAATAGAAGTTCACATACACTACGTTGATGTCCCTTTCTTTCCCTTTGACAAAACAGAGACGGCAATATTCAATACAAGACTCATGGCAGTGAAATTCTAAGGTAAGCTTAGCATTTTTTTTATCTGTTACAAATTTCGTGAGTTATGATCGACTATTCTATTTGTTTATTACTCTATGAACGTGTGGAAGTGACCGCAAACCGTTTGAAAGAAACCAGTTCCCGCCACCGTGCAAATTGTCTATGGCGTATTTGATGAAAAATATTAAAATTATCAAAACTCGACTACAGACTTCTAGTATAAATATGTATCGGAAATAAACTTAGTTATTTTAGGGGGAAATAACTAAAATGCTTACACAACTATATTACACTAATACCATAGTGTAAGTATTATAGTTCTTTTTAGGCTTTGTATACTTTTTTTAATAAACAAAAATATTTAGGCAGCTATTTTGTTAATTACTAATCACCATTGTAACTATTACGTAATGCAAGGCAACCTTTTTATTATTTTAATATTAATTATTAAAAAAAAATCATATCAGGATGGATATATGCGATTTACCATTTATCACAATAATATAAAATATTACATTTTTATTATGGTAAGCCTTAAAATAAACTATTGGTAAACTAAGTACTTATAATATGACTGAATCGTTGTTATTGAATACAACAATTTTATGAACCTATTTTCCGTAGCATAAAGTACAAGAGCTCACTTTATTTCAAATCGAACGTAATACTACCGTAGGTTGGCACTACTGAAACGTACAAAAATATATTATCTCTTTTATTTTCTTTGAAAAATCTGAGATAATAATATATTTTTGTGTAATTTCTTCGGCAGTTTAAATCCACGTTAAAAATTTCTCCGTAGACTTTTAAGTATTCAAAATTGCAAACGGAAAAATATCAATTGCAATAAGAAAATAATTCGCTACAAAATATTAATAAAGACCAATTTTGACAGCTGTCATCGATCGATTTCGAAAATCGATTTTGTTTTATACCGACATTAATCGATTATAGTTTCATATAATGCTTTTAGCTGTCAAAAGAGGGCTTTGTGTATTTTCAATAGATCTAATAATATCACACGATAATCTAATTCGATGTTTTAGTGATTTAACTCGTATGCGAGTAGCCGGTGTTTGTGTAAGGTCCACTGTAGAGGGAGCTGCCGGTGCGAGAGTACGTCTTGGGATTGCGGCGACGAGCTAATATGAACGCTATGGCTGCGATCACACAGATCATAAGAATGACGCCCGCGATGCAAATACCGATCGCAAAGTTACGTTGCGATATGCAGATCTCGTCTTCTTTCTGTAAAGTAAAAAATTAGCTATCGTCTAGGACTTTGCCTTGAATAAAAAAAGTTAATTATGTGATATTCCAGACCATCTCTGTACCAAATTTTATTCAAATCCATAAAGGTTTTCAGGAGTTCCGTGGTAAGAAACATCTCTGACATTCTGAGTTCGATTTGCTAGAGATTACAAAAATAGTTTCGATTAAGGATAAAAATTGATCAATTGAAATCTGTGAGACTTTTTTCATATTAATTGTAGCACTTTTAGTCGTTTAATGGTTACTAAAAGTGCGCTTAGTGGAGATTTAGCATACAAATAAGACTAAGGTAGTGCAGTTAATCTTTTACAGATTGCTCAATTGTTTAACATCTTTGTGAGACATAAAATTAATTTCAATGACGTCACTCAAACGCAGTGTTTCAAAGGCAATGTTACCTTCTCGCTGGTGACCTCATCGTTTTCCGGCGAGTCTGCCTCGTTCACGTACAATCCGGAGAACACTTCAACAGTGGCAGGCGCGCCCTCTTCTGACTGACGACGTAATCGCTTGCCCTTCTTGTGCGCACATGGTTCCTGTAATATCAATAGTGAAGATTTATTTATTACTTTACAGAGATATCGATAAGATAATGCGAAGATATTTTTATTTAACTACCGAGTACGATTAAGCTTCGATTAAGGAGAGCAGTGAAGATTTTATTGAAAATAAAATTGAGCTTTACACAATTGAAAAAAGTTTAAATTTTTCTTATCACATCTTTCTCATCATCTTACGGCTTCCTCTTTATGAAAAAGATATGCAAAACTCGTTTCAATCGTATAAAGCTCAATATTATTTTCGACAAGAAATCTACTTCACTTTGAGCTCGGGTCTGTGTAAACAGTTAAAGGTTAATACAATTTGGAATTTTTGACATGCAGATTTAATGATGTCACTAGAAATACATTTTTCTTTTAACTTTTAACTTCTGTTCATTAAGAACATAAATTGCTATTGATTCAATAAACTATAGATTACACTGGCGAGTTTATTTTCTTGAAAAAATCGTAGTGGCATGGAACGTGTTAAATGCTTTAAAATGACTAAAGTATACTCACACAATCAGTAGGGTGATTGAGGTCGCACAATTTGACCTCGCACGTGTAGTAGACGCTGGCAGTGTATGGGAACTTGTGCGCAGGGAAGGATACGCGCGCCTCCTGCCGCTCGCGTGAATACTGGAACTGACCCATTATCTCGCCGTCCAGTGGACATCTGAAACGTTATCAAGAGGTATTTAATGGTTAATCTAAATACAATTTTGTCTGACAACTTACATGAAAACACACATACAAATGATTGGATTTTAAGCGACTACCCAACTAATTTAACAGTCAAAAGGTTTTTTTCTAAAATAAGTAAACTAACAGTTCACTTATCTAACCAAATTTAGTAAGGTCATTGTACTTTTCTGATCTAATTAGTTAAATATATAATAGTAATGTAATTCGACAAAAAAATCTAACCCATCGTCTGCTATGAGACTCTGCTCAGCCCAGCCAAGTCCGTCGCGGACTGCACATTCAGACACCAGTAACCCGAAGCGCCGCTGCTTTTCCAGTGACACCAGCAATGTCAGCGTGTCTCCGATGCGTACGTTCGATGCCACCTGCGCATTACAACTTAGTAGTGTTTTATGTGTATAACACATTCAACTTCTTTGGTAGTACTTAAGAGGTTGTACGTAAGCGATGAAGTCGAAATGGAGCCCTTATCCACGAGATTAGAAATATAATTCTCAGAACATGTTATTACCTCATTGTCCTCGGGGTCACCTTTGTAAATCTTCATGGTGACTGACGGCAGTAGACCCGAGTCTTCATCAAACTCTTCGCTGTAATTATAAATTTAGGCTTTACATTAATTTAATCAAAAAATCTTAAGTCGTTCTTAGGAATTAAAACAATGTATTGAATACATACAGGACCAGTATAATATTATATAATGTTATATTTCATAATATAATAGTTTTGTCTTACAGAAGGAAGTAAACCGCAAAGCGTATGTTAGCGGTCAGGTTCGACCTTAACCCAGTTTAAACCTTAACCTACTGAGCAGTTATTTTTACCTTAATCGAACTAAACTACATTAACTGAAATTCCCTTTTAACCTTGCGATGTTGACACAGAAAGTAGGGAAATATACCGAAGTTTCTGGCATTATATCTTTTGACTACCCACATTTAAAAACAAAAAGGAACTGACGACAAAATGAAAGTCAGTAATCTTGGTATATATTTCTGGATTGTTATTGTTGCTATTGCTTACCTATTGTATCCATCTCTGAGTTGCGTAAGCCTGTCTGCATGCGGACGGTGTAGGTGGAACATGGTGAGGTCGCGACGGCGGTAGCGGCAGCGCACGTGGTAGCCGCGCCCCTGTCCCGTCACCAACTTCAAGTGCGGCTGCACTATTATGTTATTGTAGTACTCCACTGTGCCGTCCTCCTGCACAGCAAAAGAATTAACAAGATAACTAAGAGTTTCATATGCTATTCGCAAGACAAAATATAACGGTTTATAGAATTTATGTCAAATGTGACCCGAATTGCTTCGGGACTATGATGGTTCGTATGTCCTCGTCTTAGTGAAAGCACTGCTGCGGCCCCAGACAACATTAATTAGTTAAAATCTTTTGGCGCGAATGGCGCGCTTTCATTACTAAGTCAAGTGTCAGAATGATTAGTGAGGGGGACATAAACGTCGACATTTTAGTAAGGCTAGTGTTGCGCCAGTACACCGGCAGTGTCGGTTTTGCTTCCTAACAATATGTATCTATAATTTATGTTACTCAATACAGTACACTAATATAACACCTAATTTTTTAACGTTTTACGGAATTTACGTTTAATTTATTAAAGGTTGATATTAGCATAATTTTAAAATAGCTGTACAAAAGTATGCAAATTTTAATAAATTAAAGATACAAGATGAATTCGAATTTTACTGATGATTCAAGTTTGCATTTTAAATGTCATGGATATTAATTAAAACGAACTGGTGACAGGGAACAGGTAATCAAATGAAACATTTAAAAAACAAAATACAATATATATAAATGTAAAACATTTATTTAAAACGTGTAAATAACTTTACAATTATTGCATCTCCTACAACCTTGAATTAATCGCAACATGTTTTATTTGCGTTAACAGTTAAAATCGCAATTTAATTAAGCATACCAAAATAGCATACATCCTTCGGATCTATTCTTATTGAAAAAAGAAAATATGCGCGTGCGTAATAAGCGTAAATAAAAAGCTGCAAGTATAACTTAAATTAATTTAATTTTAATAAAAATAAAATTATATTTGACGATTAAAAAAAAACATTTTTAATCAGTCCCTGGCCATAAAAGGCAGTATTATTTCTTATGGTAATTACTCCACAAGTTTATGTTGTATAAAGCTAATAGCTGGCTGTACAAACGATGATTTTAAATCATAAACATCCCTGGTATGAACATATATCAAGTTTAATGTTTTCTATTAAGAAGTTCAGGTTTTATGAGAGGGTAAGTCATGTTGCAGTAAGCAATTACTATGCGTTAAATATTGTATATCAATGTAAAGTACTATACGGTTAAACTCCTGGATATTAAATTAAATTTTCCCGTCTTATTTTTAACAGATCAACAATTATTTTTATGAAAATAATAAATTATATGTATACATCAAGTTTAAGAGCAATATTGCTTTTATTACTCATGATTTTAATATAATTAAGCAAAGATTTTTTTATATTTATGGGTACATAATGTTTTTGTAGTCCTTTGCGGTGTTCAACTTTCAGAAATATTGTTCCTTGCGACGAGACAAACTCTCTCCTTACAAAATAAACACTTAGGTTACAGTGACTTGGGCAAACGATAGCATAACAGGAAAAAAATCAATTGGTCTGTACGACCGACTGTTTTTTGTACAGCCACATTTAAAAGTTTCAAGCGTCCCATTAGTTTTTGTTTCCGAATCCTCATTGTCTCAACGCTTAAAAGAGTTAAAAGGACTGTCGCATATTAAGTTTGAATATCGCTTGTTTCAAGAGAAGACTGAATAGATTGATTTTTAAACTAGTGGTCTATAATATATGCATAGATACGTTTGCTGAGTATCTGCCAGTTAATAAATAATAAAAGATTAATAAATTGAAAATTATACTAAGGAACGTTTGTTTGATATCGCCGCATTAACTGACTTATAAATAAATCGGTCAAATAAACTGTCAATTGCTTACTGTTCATAATTCAACTCACTCTGTATCGTTTCCTTTTTTAAGTCTACGTGTTGGGGTGTTCCGTGGGCGGGATGTGACGTCACCTCCCCTCATTGTTCCGGCGAATGCGCACGTTTTGGAACACTTTTCAATGGAAGCATATATTACTTTGTAGAATATTAGTTACAATTTTCTTATCCTTTATTTGTTGTTTAAAAACTCTTTAATGGATATATTTTTTTATTATTCATCGTCTTTATTGAACAGATCAACAACAAACAGGAGTTGGCTTTTCTAATACTTTTGCACAGCGATCAACAAACTTTACTTTGTCATAAATTATTTCCTATAATCAACCAACACGCACTGGGCCAGCGTGGTTAACTATGGCCTTATCAACAAACTTAGTTTAGGCTCCGAACCCCTTAGTGGGGACGCATAGTGAGCTGATGATATTTCGTATAATGTCATCATCATTAATAACTGGAAAATAAACGTTAAATAAATATAATTACTAATAAATACCATAAAGTAGTAGCTTAAGTACATAATTCCAATTAGTATGTTACGCAAGTAAATTGTGGTATATTACATATATAGGTATCTCCATATCCGTATGTTTATCAACCTTATATCCTATATCAAAATGTCTAAATTTTTAGACCACAATACCAAGTTGGTATAAATAGGTGTGCCCACTGGTACCGACCACGCACGACAGCAAGGCCGCATCAAAGGTCACTTGTTTCCACACAGACATACAAATCTTTTTATTATTCTAGATTACAATTGTGATGACAAAGATTATTCGAAAGCAATAGTATATCAAAAATATAACATTTACTACACTTTTAAGTTCTTATTGTTCAATGCCCATTTCGAACAGATTTATTTCAAGGAGTTTCTATTCACCATAAGCGATTGGTTTGCCTTTAAACATAATTCAACCGTCTTTAGGGACAATCCTAAATTAAAAATTGGACCTCTCGGATTCGTGCCACCATACGAAGCGGCGGCGGACATTTGAACGATGTCATATTCCTTCCATAATGGCATAAATGGGCCTTTTTAAATAAAAAAATTTCGTCACACACATCTTGTTTTATTCAATTTTAACATCGACCCGTCCTTGTTGAAAGACACTTTAAATGCGAATGTATGGATAGATAGACGTATGTTTGTTTGTTGAAAGATATATCTAAAACGGCTTAACGGATCTTGATGAAATTTGACACAGAAATAGACTGGTCTGGACTGGTGGAACTAGTCTGGAAGAAAACATAGGCTACTTATTTTTCGAATTCCTCGCGGATGGAGTCGCAAGCGCTTAGTTACTTATGGACTTATTGTCATCTTAGTATATAACTCGAACGAGTAACTTTAGGAAGATTTGTTGACTTTAAAACTTGAATCATTTACACACGAAAACCTTTAGTCTTATACTATTTTTGATATACTTTAAAAGTCCAATTTTTTAAATGATATTGTAAACATCTAATAATAGTTAAATGCGTATTGCGTATAATGAGATCGTCGAATGTTTCTCATGTTTGGCTTTCATGAGCGTTACATAAAAGTGTTTGTATATCGAGGTCGGCGTGCTGCAACCGCGCCTCTCGATTTGTCCTCAGGCACTTAATAGCCACTGCTACAATCTAACATGACAATGGATTCCATTATATTCAATCTAATTGAGTCGTCGAGAGTAGTGTGTTATGTGCCTTAATAAATATTCAGGTAATCATGGATCTATGATAAAAATTGTAAAAGAACTTAGACTTACTTCATTATCTAATCTGTTGGTAACGTCGTAAAAAATGTAATATTACTAGCTGTTGCTCACGACTCCGTCCGGGTATAATAAATAAAAACTTAATAAATAGCCTCTCTGTTCTTCTAGACTATGTTTTACATCTGTGCCAAATTTCATCGAGATTCATTGAGGCGTTCCGGAGATATTTTCTAACATTCTTCCATCCATCTTAACTTTCGCATTTATAATATTAGTAACAAGTAAGTAAATAAGAAATGCATTATAGTATTGTTGCGCTATATAGAAATACGCGATGTCGAGTAAAAAAATCCAGTGTACATATAATAAGTATCTTCAAATTATGTAACGAGTAGATCATCATCGTCATCATCAGATCACTATACGTCCGCACCGAGGAGCTTGGAGCCTACCCTAAGTTAAGGGTGACTAGGCCTTATACAAGCACGCTGGCTATATGCGAGTTGGTTGACTTCTCACAAATCTTTTTATTTCTTCTCAGATATGTGCTCATGACGTTTTCCTTCACCGTAACAACGAGAAGATATTACATTCATATTACGTACTAGAAGTTATGTTCTAACATACAATGATACATACAATATGCTTAAAAATAATATATAAAATCTAATCAGACTAATAGGAGCATTTGTAAATATCAAGGCTTTAACATATCGAAGTTGCCTAACATTATGTAAGTCATGGTTATTCAAAGCTTAGTGTGTGCTTTTTATTATATTCGAGATTAGATTTAGTACATTTTTATAAACATAAAAGTTTAATATACTACTGTACTGAATATTGCTAAAATCATTTCGCAATTTATTGTTATCTGCTTTTTGGTTATCAACTGTTAAAGATTTTTATGATCCACTTGCTGTCGACCGTGAGGAATAAAAAAAAAGTTAATTAGTAGCCTATATGTTCTTCCAAAACTCAATTTAGGGTAGGCTCCGAGCCCATCAGAGGGACGTATAGTGAGCTGATGATGATGTTCTTCCAGGTTATGTTCTACATCTATACAAAATTTCAGCGATATTCGATGAACCGTTCAATACCTTCACACAAACATCCATCCATTCATCCAAACATTTATATTAATAATATCAGTAAGTTAACAAAGGGTTTTTAATATAGACAAACTTAAAACGTGAAGTAAATATTTAAAGATGAGATAACGCATTGTTATTTAAGAGACCTCAGAAAAACCTTACACAATGTTGTTTGTATAGGATCGGAATGTTTACTGCAGTAAATATGTATTTAGATATTAAGCCACATTTTATTGTGTGAATAAGTAAGTACTTATTATAGTATTATAATAATAGCTATTTATTTCTTGAGTTAAAGTTAGGCTCTCCGTACAAAGTAAATTGTCTTAACTAACATAACATGGTTGCGTCGCGAGAATCGCGTTGTGTGCTCCAAACACTCAACGTTGATTTTTACAGATTTGCTCCGCCATCTTGAAAATCGCGGCGACTTTAAACTCGATGATCTTGACAAATATATTGCGAGCGACTGGCTTTGGCAATTGTCAGGTATATAGAAATAAAGATTTCGGTTAATAAAAATATTAACTTTCGTGTGTAGATATTAATAAATGAGTTGATACGTGACAGCTGTTTGATTTAACACATCCCGTGCATTAAAAAGACTTTACAGCAATAACAGATAGACATGTCGACTACGCGCACAATGTACGAACATATTTGACATCGTTTAGCGTAATTCACCGACTAAAATCGTCGGGTTTCCAAGATTTAAGTCGTGTACCTTAAATTACAAAAGATTATTAAAACGTTCCATATAACTGGATAGGTCAACGTTGCATCACGTATCGTGACGTGTCTGTGTAATATCGTGTCGGCGTTGGTCATCGTTTATGAATATTTATATTGGCCGGTCCAATATTGACTCTACGCATAAATACTCAGTAAAGAGGAAGGTTAACGACAGGGACGGGGTTATGTCTATTAACTATTCTAGAGGATTTTAATGATGTTTATCAAGTATGTTTAACCGTGGGTTTTCACTGCCGAAGCTTCTACACTAAACATATAATTAAAGATCACGTAAACATGTATATTCGTTAGCAATTATTTTCATTGATGCGTATGCTTCGTTGATGTTATCGGGAATTTTTTTCATCGAACAAAGGATGTCGGATGCATGATTGTTAAAACAATATAAGATACGCATACCTATGTAATATTTTTTTCCGTAGGAATATTAGTAAAGATTCTATAGAGATACGAGATGAAATGATTTGTACCTTGATAATTAGATATCACGTTTAAATTTTTTGATAAATTAAAAATAAATAATAACAGCAAAAATGATTGATAAAAAAGATGATAATTTTGTATGTTAAAGATCGAATAATTATAATCATACTAGCTGTAGCCCGCGGCTCCCTCCGCGGAGAATTAAATAAAAACTTAATAAGTGTACTTCCAGACTATGTTCTACATCTATGCCAAATTTCATTAAGATTTATAAAGGTTGTTGCGCAGTTACTAACATTCATCCATCCATCTAAACAATTCTATTTAAAAATTTTAATAAGATTAGTAAGATTTTATTTTACGGTCGCATCGCTCTATCTTCAGAGACAGAGATTTTATTTTTTACAAATATTGCAGATTAAAAAAAACTAGATATACGTAAAGAACAATATATAAAGCATATACCTATATGATAGTTATTGCTATGACCATATATCACAGTGGCGTACGGTAAGTAACTACTACGGCGTTTTATAACTGCCGCGTAACGGACTCGGGGTTACGCGCGGTAACTACTGGTTTTCTTTGATGCTTTTGTTCATAGACGTTATTATAGTTTTATATGTATTATAACTTTTTATAACTAAGACAATGGTAGTAGAATTAGACAGTTAACCTAATGTTAAGTTATTTAAAAAAGTCTTTTTAATGAGTATTATGATATTTTACTTCTTACTTATTATAAATGCGAATGTTTTGATGGATGGATGTTTGTTTCAAGTTATCTATAGAACGGCTGAACAGATCTCGATGAAATTTAGCGTGCATGTAGAACATAGCCTGGAAGAACACATAGGCTACTTATTCCTTTTTTTTTAATTCCGCGCGGACGGAGTTGAGGCTGCCGTTAGTTGTGTCATAATTTATATTTTTAACTCATTTCGTGTGTTCAGTTTCCGTTATGTTATGATACCATGACAATATTGTTCGGGTACGAGATCGTAAATAGTTGTACCGTTGTTAGATTATTATCACAAACTGGATACTTATTGTCCTGTCACTTGCCGAATATTTCCTGAAATAACTTAGATTTTAAGTAAAAGTATAAACAACTAAGTGCTTCAATTAAAATACATCAAAAATGTAGAATAATCATATTGATATTTTGCAACATTATTTCAAATTATATAGATTTACCATTATCGGTAAGTTCAATTTAAGCGTCAAGCCTAATAGTTAAGGGTACGGATTGCCGATCACGAGGTCGTGGGTTCGAATCCCGCCATTCGACTATTGTCGTAAACCATATCCTAGCACAAGCATACAGCTTAGTTGGAATGGTAAAATAAATATTAGTAAATTTACAAAAAAATCTGCTAATATTTTAAAAAATTAAAAAAAAACAATTTGCTTCGATCGTGACCTACTTCCATACTCAAGGTCATTAAGTGGTCCCTAAAAAAGTCGCTTAACTTTAGTATATGAATTAGCTAATCATTAACGAATGCGGCAATTGAAACATCATTAACGATGTACAAAAAAGATGTAGATCGTCTTTAACTATGTTAAAAGATATAGATGATAGAGTGACGTTGTCGGAAAGATTGCACGCGCACGGAGCAAGGAGGAAGCGCGTGTTTAGAATCATTAGAAGCCCGTTGCGTTCCATCCGTCTTACCGTATCTACAGGAACTATCGTGTATTCTGTTTAATTGACGACCATTTATTTGTTTCTTGTTTAGTTTTCGTATTGTATTATAGATCGTAGTTGCCGAATAAAGCTGTAGAGTTTCTTTTATTGCAAATCGAGTTATAATATCGTAGTGATTAAGTAATAAGTAATGTAACATGATGTAGAAGAAAAATTCACATCGGCATATTAAGGTAATAAAATCACAATTTGTTACCTTGCAATTTAAGTTAAAAATGTTATGCCGTACATCCTAATTTAGAGATTAGGCTGCTTATACGATGACTCATTTGGACTTTTGTCAATTCTCATTGGAATTGTTATTTTCCTATTTATGATACAAAGGAAAACAGTTTCATATATGGTAAAGGAAAATGATTTGGATAGGAAAACGCAAGTATTGTTTTCGAAGAAATATACATTTTATAATATTCAAAGTATTTCCTTGATGCGTGTTTGTCGCAAGCGCAGACACAATTTACATTGAAGGGCAAACAAAGGAATTCTCAGGCTGTACACTCGGCATTGAAAGATTGTAACTTGACGCCAATTTTTGTGAATATTTATTTTGAAATTATTTGTTAAAGTAGTTTAATAAATTTAACACAGTCATATATTCCAAAATAATCCACTTCATTTGTGTTTATACGCAGATTAGCCGACTCTTAATCTTATCATTCGATATTCTACGTCTTTTGTGATGTTATGACTTTACGTTAAACTTGAAGAATACGTGGCGGTACGAATTGGGCATCTCCCGCTTGATTCGTTATTACGAAGCTAAACAACAATTTTACTCGTACTTAAAGACAATTTGAATTATAATATCTCGATAAACTGTAACTACAGGATCCTTAAGCGTTTTTTTGTAAATATGCAAGAATTCTTTCCACCCGAAAATCACCACATAATTTCAATTGAGATTCTAATCAAAGGATGTTGTAAAACAAAAGAAACTCACGTCATCTGTGGCCATAGTGTTGCAGCCCTTGAGCGGCAGCGTATATTGCAGGTCACCTCGCGCTGAGATATATTCCCGCAAGCAGGATGAGTTGCTGCCCAGTCCGGCTGGATACACTATGCCATTGAATGTATCGTAGATACTGTAATAATATCAGGTCATTAATGTGAATGTCAACAATTATGCTCTGGTTTAGGCAATATTAAATACATATTTATATAATAAAAATATGAATACATATACAAACAGAACAATTTTAAAGCTGCAGTACTTTTGCAAGTAAGAAAACAAAAAGGCTTAATTGTCCAGTTTCTTTAGTGCAGACAAAAAAGGTACAAAAGTATTACCTGTTGCCTGCTGGCTGTGTGTGCGCGAGCGAGATGGTGACGTGCATGTTGTCCCGCTCGCACGACACGGCGAGCGTGTCGAGCGGCGCCAGCGCGGCCGGCCATGGTGTCGTGAGGTCTGTGGCCGTACCCACTGATGTCGTTACAAGTTCTGGACAGAAGGTATTGGTATTAAGCTAACACTTATCAGCGTAAGATTGGAAGTATAGAGTAATGTTACCGGACGATATGTTCAACCGACGCTTTATCCTAAACGGAAAACGCTTCTAGGCTACATTTTACTAAAGTTACTGCACATTATTCCCACTTTATATTACGCTTACACACAGTTCTAGTCTTTTATTAATAATGTTGACGAGATTTGACGTAAGAATTATATTTGCTTTTGTTTTAAAGTTAACACGAACGCGTTTATGTCTTTTGTATGGAGGGATCGGATTGTAAGTTAAGATGATAATTAACGCATTAAAGTCTATTTAAGCAGCTTATAAACAAAACTATAAATTATAAAATAAATTAATTTCTATTTTGCTTTATTTTATACAATAAATATTTTAAGTGCTTCTTTCTTTTTTATTATGTTTGGCAATACGATGAAGTATTTAAGTATACATCTTAATATTATAAAGCTTTTAACATTTAAACAAATAAGTGATTATTTGCTTAATAGATTTAATTAAAAGATAAGTTAAATAAAGAACATATAACACTAAAATTCTTAATTTCATTTAGCGGTCACTATTGTTATAGCGTGATAATATTTCCAAAACAATACGTGACTATAATTACCTCAACGTATAAAATTGCTGTTCCATGTCCGTCTAATAAATGTTTACCGTATTTTTGATCGATCGAACTGATACTACAAACTACGGAAGTGCAATTATCTACTAAAACTTTGAATTTTAAGAGATAAGACCTGTCAAATGCTAAACGAACATCAAGTTCGTGTATGTTGTTTAAGTTCTTGTTTGTGTGCTCTGTTTGCTTGTTTAACTTTTTGAGTTAGTATGTATTCCTGAAGAGGTTTCTATTTTACGTAACCATCAGTATTATAGAGACATGTTTGATTGTCATCTCTACCTCATTCTCTAGAGAAATTTGGAATATTTTTTTTTAGTACAAGAGGTTTTTGCCTAGTCCGTTTCTATATAGTCAATAAAAATTACTCGTCTAAAAGAATCTATTCTATAAAGTAGCATAACGTATTACTTAAGTGCTTGTAATTAGCGATGTTTAAGCGAAAGTAGAAGATAATGTACACGTACGTAATAATTATAAGCGGAAATACGTAGATCTAACACTTGCTGGAATCATAACTTGGTATTTTTCCCCGTATATCATAGTAATAAGGTAAATTTACATAACTATGTCGAAATGGAAGTCCCCCTTGGCAATACAAACATGTTTTTAATTATGTAAGTATTAAATTTACAAAGAAGAGCAGGAATTCCAATCATAAGTTCCTGCTTAAATGGAAGTCCCGAAAAAATTATTATATAATATTGTACTATTTTTGTTAAACATATATAACATTTTATATTAAATTCAATCCATTTAATTAACTTCTATTTACTGGGATGGGAATCTTAAAAATGTCCCATTTGTGGAATATGTTATTGCAGAAAAATAACATAATCTACTTTTAATGTTGAATCAAGTGGAACGCTCTTGGAATCTCAGGATACTGAAGAATCATAAAATCAACGCATTTTTACAATTTGTAAGCAGAAACTTGAGACTCGTTTAAAGGATGCGCGTGCGCAGGCACGGGGTATCGGGGAGGGAAAGTCATTGACCCCGGCCGCATCGCCACTGCCCACTAAAACGACCAATGGAATATTGCTAAGTTGTAGCTGTACTTTTTGACGGGGTAATGAAAAGCCGATCATAAAACAAGTTTAAGAGGAATATAGTCGCTTCTTAACAACAACTAAAAAGTGTATGCAATCTTTATTTCGAAAGTTATTGGAGTCGTATGTACCGAACAGATTAAGCATGGGCCCATATTTCAAGAAACAACGTAATTATACTTTGTAGTAGTTTCCTTCTATGCTTCTAGGAGTGATTTTAAAGGCTGACAACGCATCTGCGGTTCCTCTGGCGTTGCGGATGTCCATGGGCGTCGGATCAAATAATTTTCGCCGATTCGTTAACACGTTTGCCCCTTTCTCCTATAAAAAATCCGCAATTCCATTTTACTTTTGGTTACAGAGTGCTGAGTGCGCTTAATCTAAACAAAGATTATGAGTAATGAAATCTGTATTGATGGTTTTTTCTGCAGACTGTTCATGCTAACTCTCTTGAACCACGAGTTACAAGGCTTTGCTAATTGAATATAGAAGACAACAGTTTGTCTTAGGTAATATACTCTATTAGATATTTCTGTTCTTAATTAATGTATATGTAAGGATTTTGGTGATATAAAATTGGTTATTTTATGTAAGTAATGAACTTACCGGTAGCGGTCGGAATTTGTTTGGAACGCGCGGCCGAAGCCAACGCCACTACCAAGAGAATGCTCCACATGGTTCAGTCTGAAACAATGAGAGGAGAAACATTAGTTATTTAACGAATAACATTTTATGAAATTTAAACCTAAGACAATCAACATAAGGTCTTGAATAAACAAACCCTCGATACGTAATTTATCTTACTAATATTATAAATGCGAATGTATAGATGGATAGACGGATGGATGTTACCTTCTAGGTACGTCTGGAACAATGGATCTTGATGAAAATTAACACAGATATAGAACATAATCTGGAAGTATAAATAGGTTACTTATTAAGATCTTTTTAATACCGTGCGGACACAGTCGTGGGCGACAGCTAGTGTTTAAAAAACAAGTCATTGTGTTAAATCCCATTAACATAATAGATTTAACATACAAAACAATTCTTGTATTCCCTAACAGCAGCCTCCTGACCTATGAAGCGTGACATAATGTTTGCAGATACAGCGATACGTAACACGAGCCCGTCCCACTGAACGTGTCCGCACTTCTCGTGTTACCATGGTTATAGATTGCTGCCTATCTACATTGAAATTAAACGATCTTAAAAATTGTGAAGGAATTTAATCTTATTTCTTACTATCTTACTAATATTATAAATGCGAATGTTTAGATGGATGTATGAATGTTGGTTAAAGATATATCCAAAACGGCTCAACAGATCTTGCTGAAATTTGGCATAGTTGTAAGACATAGTTTCGACGAATACATGGGCTATTAAGATTTTTTGAATATCGTTTAAATATATTTTCATTCTTATCGAACTTTAGGTTACTTTACTTATATACCGTTTTGTAATTAGACTATTTTACGGAATTTATCGAGTATTTTAAATGTGGTATTTGAGGTACAAATTTATTAGCGAAGTCTCCTGTTTTTTAGATCTTTATCAAAAGCTCTTTTCAAAAGCAAATTTTAGTGACTTTTATAAATACCTGTCATAAATATAAATTGGAACCATCGTTGTAGTATAAAAGAGCTAATTTTTAAATCAAATATCAAGGTCCGGCCTTTATTAAAGATACGTGACCAATAAATATCATAGCGTAAATCTACTTCGCACAAAAGCGTAAATTAAATTCAATTGCCTCTATTTTTATCAATAAACGATAAAAAACTATTTTATCACCCCAATCAAAAGATACATAAGATAAGATAAAGATAGAAGATTTTGGTTCGAGCTCAAAGAAAAATAACAGTCACAATTTTTTTACGTAATATTGAGGTGAGAAGAGAATAACAATTTGCCCTATTTTTCACGCTTAAGTCTCTACCCTGTCGAATAAAACTATCACTATAATACAATTTGGTACATAATTTCAAACAATATTAGTTAGAATCATTTGGCGCGAATGACGTGCTCTTACAAAATCCAGTGTCAGAATGATTAGTGAGGGGACATAAACGTCGACATTTTAGTAAGGCTAGTGTTGTGCCAGTACACCGGCATTATATCGGATTTTCTTCCTAACAATAAATACAAAAATATTCCTATACTAATACAAACATAACCTAAATTGTAAAGTATATGAACAAGTGTGTTGCCGTATCGGATTCAGTTGCGATATGTCAAACCAAACTTAGTATACTGACGCAATGTTTGTAGCGAGACAAGTGCGCCCCACTTGCATTGCAACTAGACAAGTAGGGAATGTAAGCTGATATTATAAAAACATCTGAACAAACTATTGAATAATTTTACTTTTTAATCAAATGCGTAGTTATCATTAAACGTAATTGTAACACGAAACGGCTACATGGTTAAAGAATATAGCAGATATAATGCTGTTAAAGTAGAGTAAGGAAAATGTATAACTGTGGTCCATAATAAGGAATCTCCAAAACACAATTACAACATAAGTAAGTTACTTTTTTAATAGATAAGTTACCAAAGTAATTCTTAAATCTGCGAGATGATTGAGATTATAACGAGTGTGTCATTAGCTTATTTTTATTTCTAGAAGATGTCAGGTTACAATTATATAAAAAATCCGAAGATGGCAATATTTTCTTCCGATTAGATCATTCTGTTTAACCCTTAATAGCCTAGAGTTTCAATTTTGATACCAATCTTTTAAACCGAATGTTCACATTACTATTACTTTTTTATAGGTTGGCTGTACCTATTTTACTGTTGTATTATATTGTTTCCAACGAAATTAAAAAAAAAACAAATTTCATTATTGTTTTATTTTATCAAGCAAACACAGTAATATTAAAAATATATCACTGTCGTATGTAAATCAGGCTACTAAGGGTTAATAATATAGGGATTATTGTTCTCTCCTTGTCAAGGTTAAAATTTTACTTGTGTCCTTTTCAGTACACTGTAACCTTTTGTATATCAGAATTAGAGAAAGCAATTGATCAGTTCTGTACGGTTGCGTAACTTGTGCCATTCACTTAATGCCTGTACATAATCTAGCCGGACTGCTTAGTGTGAAGGTAACCTTATCTTTCACTTCTTTAAGCAAACAGAGTATTTTTTACTTGCCACTCAAGTAAATACTGTATAAACGTGCATATGCATTGAGTGGATGGCAGATTAATTTTGTATTTTGCATAACTTCCGCTATTCAGAAATTCCGAGTTCATTTTATATATGCATGTTCATAAGGCGTTCAGAATCTATTCTACAGTTTTGATCTCCCTATACCAGGTAATATTAAATGTTTTCTATTGTATTTGAAATATATTACATAACGTTTAGTAATGTATCAATTGTTAGTCACACTTGTAAAAATCTGTAACAAAAACAAACAACAAAAAGCACTTTAAGCTACAAATTCGTCTTCGTCGTTAACACATTAAATTGTTTACCCGAGTGTACCCGGAAGCCGAGTCGAGTTCTGCAGACCGTGACATCAAGGTAAAGACGCGCTGGCTGAGACTTATTATAATAAATGCGTATGTATTCGTAATTACTATATCACTAGTCCCACGATGTTATTTCTACTTTATCTTATTATTGCATACTTTATTATTACTATCAAAAAAAGAATCGTAAATAAATATGAATCATTTAATGCAATATAAAAAAAATTGAATTGATGTTCCTTTGTTTCCATTGAATTTCAAAGAACTACAACAAACAACCTGATTTATTAAGTTACCCAGAGAAAAAGCTTATATGAACGAGTCACCTAAGTTATTTGTTATCCCGAAAAAATCAAGACAGAAGCGTTATAGTGCAATTTAAATATTTATATAGACAGTTTAGTGTTTAGTTTAAAACTTACTTTAAAACGTTTTACGATATTATGAACGAAAATGTTTATGGCTAAATGGACGGATGTTTGTTCGAAGATATCTCCACAACGACTAAACGGATCTTGATAAAATTTGGCATAGATGTAGAACATAGTCTGGAAGAACACATAGGTTTCTTACTTTTTTTTAATTCCGCGTGCACGGAGTCGTGGGCACAGATAATATAAAATATATTCTTATAATAAATTACATTAATTTAAGTAATAATGACAGAGGCAATTTAATGGAGTGTTATTTCTTTTCTGTAGTCCACGTGTTGTAATAGTGTTTATAGTTGTGTTGCAGTTTGTGGTTACTGCGGTTTGGCAAATGCTCCTAACAAAGAGAATGCCTAAATAGTGTGATGTGACGACATTGGATAATTTGCTATTAAAATATGTTTAGTGAAGTTGATTCGAATAACCTTAAAAACTATTCAATCACTCAGAAAGCATATTATTTAGTTTCCTTTCCCTTCTAACCCTTTTTCTTATAAGTAAGGGATGGAAATTTGAAGTAGATTTTCCGGATGAGGGGATGCATGGGAATGGAAAATATCTTCCTGTGCATCCCCTCTTCTGCAGATTAAACGCATCTGCAATTGCGGATGTCTATGGGTAACGGCAGCTTCGCTATTTCAGCGATTTCGGGTGGCCACTAGCTCCTTTGTCACCTTATGATATAAAAATTATATCGTATAAACACAGATAAAATCTCGCATCTTTAAAAAACATTGATTATTAAAAAAAAAATAAGATGTCTGTTTCTCTTTGAAGAAATATGACAGCGATATGATTTTGGACAGGTATTTCGGCAATTTGACCCCATAATAAAAGGTTGTAAGTTAAAAGTCAATAAAATTCTTACATCATAAATACCAAGTAAAGTGCATCTCTGCATCTGTTATGAGTTACTCAATATCGGGTAATACTGGCTGACTTTACAGTCATCAATGTAGTCATGTGTTATGTAAATATATGACCTAATTTTGATGGTATACTTTCTTCAAGATGCTTATCTTCTATTCCAGTTCCAATTCAATACTGTTAAGAAACTGAAACAGGTCTTTGTAAAGAATTTTACTACGATTTTTTTTTTATTTAGTTAACCCCTTGGGTACATTTGACGTCTGAGACACGTCATTCACTTTTTTCCCCTAAGAGCGGATGACGTGTCTAAGACGTCAAACCAAAAATTAAACTTTTAATATTTTAGAAATAAATACATTCTTACATAAAATGTACTTTACATACTACTCTAAGCAACCAAAAATTATTTCCGTTCCACATGCAAATATTTTCTCAAATGAATCCGTAGCCAAGGTTAATAAAGGGGCGTTATCGTAATGCCTACCTATAAGTCTTCTAATTAATAATACATCATTATATATTCCTTAAGAGTGATCACTTAACAACTCATTGTGTTAGTAACTGTGGGTTAGTTGATCAGTTTTTGAACAAACTTTTAAGTATTTCGTAATGTGCAAAGAAAGCAGCTCAGTGAATGCAACATCGGGTAAGCCAATGTCATTAGAGGCTCGGTAATAGTTGACAGGTATACTGGAGCGCTTGTACGCTCGCTCAAATATTGGAAATGTACAATCAGCGACAAAATTACAATAATTTTCGTTTCATTATTATTTATCAGATTTCGCCCGCGACTCCGTCCGCACGGAATTAAAAAATAACTTAATAAATAGCCTATGTACTTCATCTATGCCAAAGATCTGTTGTGCCGTTATGGAGAGCCATTCAAACAAACATCCATCCA